TCTTTTTAAACAATCCTTCTTACTTTACGGTTCTCCCTCACTGTGTTAGGTAATATATTCGATTTGTTCCACTAGGGTTGTTCTTGTTTCAGTTTTTCTGTTTTTTAAGTCCTGTACACTGTCAGAGGAACAGAAATAAAAGGGTAGCTTGCAGGGAAACAGGATGGAAATTTTTGTTTTAAGATACAGAAATAACAGCAGGTTTGTAATATTGAAAGAAACAATCAAGAGGAGATAAAATTTAGTTCCTTTAATACAGGACAGCACTGGCTGACTTCAGGATGGATGGCTCGCCTGCGTAGTCGTGCGTGTGCGTGAGATCTTGGAATGTGCCTAGCTCTGGTGATCCCAGTGAGGTTCCCTTTCTGATCCCTTTTGCTCAGAGTCCTTAAGCGTCTCCAGCTGCTTTTACATGGGTGGAGTAGAAAAACCAACTAACATTAGGGTTCGTGGTTTTGTTAAGACATAAGCAAAAATCGCCACCGACCGGCAACTACGAAATCATAAATGGTAACAAAATATGCCTAGAGACTGGTCTAAAAAAGCGGCCTTTTAAGTTTCTTTTGTGTGTTAATGAGGAGGGGTGGGGAACCAGCGTGTGCCATCAAGTGCGCAAGCGCAGTTTCAGACTCCTTTCCTTTAGGAAATGAACTTTCCCAGAGATCTTCCTAATATTGAAAGGATTTTGATTTCTTGTTTTAAAAATCATCTTTAAAGTGTTATGGTGAAATTATCAAGAACTAGCTCCGAGAAAACTGAGCTTCCCCTATCGAGATAAAGAAAAAGCTCACCTCCGCCCAACGTGGGGCTCGAACCCACGACCCTGGGATTAAGAGTCCCATGCTCTACCGACTGAGCTAGCCGGGCGGCTGCAAGCTGCCCTTAATTTTCTGTCTTTTGGTGACTGCTTACCCATATTTGGTTTCCTTCCCCGGTCCTAAAAAAATTATTCCTAATATACTATGAAGTTGGCCTTTCAGAATTCTTTTCAAGGACGTTTTAAAACGTTAAAACTCAAATTTAAAAATTGTTATTTTATATGTAATCCTAAAATCACTGAAAACTTACCCAAGACTTTATAAAATCATTGAACTTTTCTTCTGAAGTGTTTTAAAATATATACGGCCCCAAATGTTATCATCTTTACATAAACACGTGTCAAAGCTATCCAACTTCTATCAAATGATATATTCAATTCCTCCATATTTGGGCTCTGCATTAAAAAACAAATTTCAACCTCTGAAAATTAAGTTTCACTGAAGAACAGCGGAGTTTAGCTGTTTTCTTTGGTCTGGTCTGATTAAGAAAAGTGAAGTTGTGGAAACGGGATACTGATTCAATTTTAAAAATTTAATGACTCTAATAATAGAGATTTAGGTCGTTCAGAGGCTATCATCCTGCTGAAAAGACAGAAACTAGGAGGGAAGTCTCTGAATCTAAAGGTAACAAATATTATTTCTAAGAGAAAAATCTGATTTTGATCAAATTATGACAAACTGAAACAATGGAATAATCTATAAAAATGTTAAAATTCTGAAAGTCGGGCAAAACTTTCTAAATAAAGAATTCTGTGAATCTTCCTGCTCAAAATTGCAAGTTAAAGCATAATTGTAGCCCTGGGAATTACAAAGAATTCTTAGGATATTTATATTTATAAATTAAATACTTTGAGCATGGAATTTCCTGATACTCAATTTAAAAATATGGCATGTCATAAAATATTTAGATTCTTCAAAGTAAAACTGGGACTTAAGTAGGGTATTTAAAATTTTTAAGCAAGCTTAAAATAATATAATTACAGGCTAGAGGTGTATCTCAGGGGTAGAGTACTTGTCTAGCACGTGTGAGGCACTGGGTTAGATCCTCAGCACCACATAAAAATAAATAAAATAAAATAAAGGTATTGTGTCTATCTATAACTAAAAAATTTTTTTTAAATACATATATGATTATAATTTTTTCACAAACGCAAACTGATTTATTTGTGATTGTTTCATAACTTGGAAGAATTAAACTGGGAAATGAAAAATTTTTTACATATTAAAATTATTATTTCTAACCATTATTTAAATAATTAAATATGACAATAGACATAGCAGCAAATAATTATTAAATGTTATTTGATAATGTTTAAATTTGTTATGATTTATTAAGTTATCTACCACATGCAAAGCATCATTAAGTATTCTAACAGACTATTTTAAAAGAGATGTTAACTTCAAAAAGCTGATCATCCTATAAGATGTGTAAGTTATATATCAATTTCTTATGTACTACTTCCAAATATATTTTGGAGTAAAATTGGTCAAAACAAATCCATACCCATTTAAGTCTTGAAATGAATCAGACAAATAAGGAAGAACTTGAGACAATTTAGTGCATTTTTCCAAGACATAAGATAAATCAACAATCCAACCTCAAAGTAGGCAGTTCATCTGACAATGAGTTCAGAAATAGCTCCCAAATTATCAATGAATAATAGAGTGACCTACGCACTCAAAAACACTGTGTTGCACACAAGTAGTGAATTTATTTAAAAATTTAACTTGAGTACCTAAACAAGTTTAGCTTTCTTCAGCACTTTCTTACCGATCTTGGTTAAAATGAGGAGCTCTTATGAAAGAATTACAACTAGCATGTTTTAATGTGAGGTAAGTTAAGTGGTTAGTCTTTGAAGAAAATTTAAATGTTTTATTTGTTCAAGAAAAAAAAAACTTAACCATTAATTATAGCTTCATTAGCAGGAAAGAGCAATTGAAATTCTTTTTTTCCTAACTTTCTACATCCAATTCTTCAACATGCCCTACACATTTGAAATTTATCCACAAATTTTCACTTCTACTGCTACCTCTAGTCCAACTGATTGAGAAAGATCATTGAATAATTTAAATCAAATAATGAAATTTTACAGCTGGAATTTTTTTTCCTGATGTAGAAAACCAATAAATAATGGGAATGAAATGATGGAATTAAAAACTGCCAGGTGGCCGACACCATAATAATAATTTTATTCAAATGAGAATAATCAGATACTATAACTAGTGGGCAAAAGTTTGAGGATAACAGGATGTTTACATAGTCTGAAATTATTTCCCCACCAGTTATTTATTAATTAATTACAAAGGGGAAAAAGGAAACTTATATTGAAGAAATGTTAAGCAAATTATCAAAGTTAAAATTACCATTAACAGGGGCGGGGGTTGTGGCTCAGGGGTAGAGCTTTGCCTAGCACATGCAAGACCCTGGGTTTGATCCTCAGTACCACATAAAAATAAATAAAATAAAGGTATTGAAGGTATTGTGTCCAACTACAACTTAAAAAAATACCATTAACAGAACAAATTGACATAATTTGTCTACTAAGATAACACTTTGGCATGAATGTATATATTAAGGAATATTCTACAAAATAAATGGTTTGAGTTTTGTCAAAGATGTTAATGCCATGGAAACTCTGTAGACATACTAGGTAACTATTTTCCAGATTAAAGAAGACTGGAAATATAACAACTAAATGCACTCTGAGATTTATCAGGAAGTGCCAAAAATTGAATAAAATTGATAGATTAGGTAGAAATATTGTTAATTTTCTTTCTTTTTGTACTGAGACTTTAACCCAGGGTGCTTTGCCACTGAGCTATACATTCCCAATCCTTTTTACTTATTTATTTTTGAGACAGGATCTCTATACTTTGCCTAGGGCCTTGAATTTGGGATTCTCCTGTCTCAGCCTTCTGAAGTCACTGGGATTACTGATGTAAACTACCATGCTCGGTTATTTTCTGATTTTCATAATTTTACTATGGTTATGTAAAATTATGTTTTGTCTTAAAGGGGAAAACACACTGCATTTTAATTTGGTATTTAGAACTAAAACAATTGCTTTCGGCCTTTCACTTACATTATATTAAGATTCATTCACAAGATCTGGTCTAATGTCTACATCTTTGAATTCGCTTGTCCCTCACCGCACTGAAATCTCTGATAGACCATACTGACATGACAGTTCCTAGAAAAATCCAAATTTTGTCCAGTGCCTATTCCCTAAGCCTTTCCTTTTCCCAGGTTTCCAGATTAAAGAAGACTGGAATTACCCATTCAGAAAGTCATTTTCTGAGCACCAGCCCTAAAATTTGCACGTCCATCGCCTATTAACTCACTATTTTTATCTTCTACTACTTATAAAACTATTTTGCTTATTTATTTTTGTTGCCTGTTTCTTCCCATTGAGAATTCCGCTAGGGATGGGAAATATATCTTGCTCACCATTTTATTAACAATGTTCAGACAAGTGCTTTTAACTTATTAATGCTCAATAAATTTCCTGAATCAGGCTTTTCCTTTACTCAAAAACGTTATACTCATAGGAAGGGCTCGAATACTTCTGTAAAATTTCAAGTTATCATATGATACCCTTAAAATGCAATTTCCTTCCGAAGGCCTAAGAGGACGAAGGCCTAAGAGGGTGATATAGCCGGTGTAGTGGCACAATTCTGTGATCCTAACGGCTCCGGAGGCTGAGACAGGAGGATCGCAAGTTCAACGTCAGTCTCAGCAATTTAGCAAGCCCCTGTCACAAAATAAAAGGCCTGGGGATATGACTCAGTGGTTAAGCGACTCTGGGTTCAATCCCTGGTACAAAACAAAAAAACAAAAAGTGAAATAAATACCATCATTATCTGGGTCAGAACTAAGAGGTCAAGGACAAAGGGATAACTCTCCCCTCCTGCTTTCTTAGCTCTTAGTACAGGAACATCTTTCCTTGTTTGTTTCAAGACAGACGAAAGAGATAATATAAAATATAAATTTTTCCTGGGAAAAGAAATAGAGCACTTTCTTAAAGGACCCAATGACCCAAAGTGTCTCAAGGCACTGCAACTGAAGGAAAAAACCCCGACCTTCCCCTAACCACCAAACCCCAAGTCTATTGCTTCCACCCAGGGGCGCCGCTCCCTACTCTCACCCCTCCTTTTCCCACAATCCTTTAGGCCGCGGAACCAGCGGCAGAGAAAAAGGCTATTGGTTGAAATTGCAGCCAATGGGAGGGCTTGTTACTAGTCTGCGCGGTGCGGAGCTTGTAGGGAAAGTGCTTTGGGCCTGGAACCTCTACACATCCCGGTGGTTTTAGCACGATGAGCTCCATCGGCACCGGGGTGAGTTTGTTATCCCTCAGTGGGTTATTGCAGTCTAAGCATCGGCGTTGAAGGGAACTCGGCCACACTGCGTGGGAGGCGTCTCAGACCCGGGGTGCGCTGGGACTGCCTTGGGTAGGGTGGGCCGCTTGTGGCCGCCTGGAGGCCGACGGTCTTTTATCGCTGTGTTCTAGGCCCGCTTCTCAGGTGTCGGTGACTCTTAGAAAAGCCATCAGCCTAGTTGTAGCGAGCTTGGCCAAGCAGCAGTAAGATTTGGAATGGCCTTGGATTGCTGAGTCACTTTCTTAAGCCGCTTGGGAAACCGAAAGTGGAAACTCGTGGGCCCCGAAATAGTGTATGAAGGGTTTAGGCAACAATTCGCCTTGGAGAACCGCCGAGACACTGCATCTTGGGATTCTATGGTTTGAGACTTATGCTGTCTATGGACCGCCTTGCAATTGTTAGGCTGCTGCTGACTCATAGGCCTTCTATGTCTTCCGTTCAAGTACACTCAGTGTATGAGTCCATGGAAACCCTTTTGGGACGGAACTACTAAGAAAAAGGGTCTGATGAATCAGTTTTTCCTTTGACGCAGCCTTTCATGTACACATTATTTAGTAGCACCTTATAGGCATTAGTACTGTAAACATTTCAGTGGTTATCGGCTTAACTGCTTTTGCCTTTATTTTTGTGGTACTCGGGATTGAACCCAGGGCCTCGCGCATGGTAGACAAGCACTCTGCCACCCTCACCCTGTAAAAATTTTTAAATTTTTAAAGGGTCTCAGTAAACTGCCCAGTCTGGTCTTGATCTTGTGATCTTCCTGCCCTAGCCTCCAGAGTAGCTGGCGTGCGCCACCTGCTTCTAACTTTTAATAATTTGAAGATTTTGGAGCTGGATTTGTTCAGCTTCCTGTTTCACTTTTTAAATGTGTATGTGCGGTCCTTTACTTGCTACTTTCATACTTATCCATATAGAAAGGTGTTGTTTTAAAAAATAAGAATTATCTTGGCTATTTGCATTAGACACAATGAATAATGGGTTCATCAGTGCATCTATTCCTGCTTACAAGATTTTGATACTTAGCATTTAGCCCAAATACTGGTATTCCAAGTTTGACAACAGGTGTTTATGTTTGAAACTTTTTAAACAATTGAGTTAGGAATGTTGCAGTTATGTCATACTTTTTTGGATAAGTTAATGCTTAGTAATGCATCTTGTAGAAAATCAGTTTTGCAACCTCATTAATATGACCTTCAGTTAACAATGTTTCATTCTGCAAATCTTTTAGAAATAATTGGTAATATAATCATTTGATATATTTTAGTATTGACAGTGGCAGAGTTAATGATCTCTGAGACTCAGAAAGTATCAATATTGAAGGTTTGTTTCCTGTCTTCACTTTTCTGAAGAACACCAGATACTAATATTTGTCTTTTTTGCTACTTCTGTCTTGTTGATGTTTAATAGTCATTTTCATACTACCTATCCAAAGTAGAGTCTAAATTTTCTCATCTTGCCGTTTTTCATCTCTTGTATTCTTACCTTAGTGAATGATCCAAGTGAAAAAGAAATGTGTGATTCATTTTTATTTTATTTTATTTTTTCAGCCCAGAGCCAGTCCATTAGCAAAGTGTTTTTGTTTTAACTCTAAAAACGTATTCCCTTGCCTCTATTCTCTTGTCAAAGCCACTGTCATCATCTTTGGAATACTTGGTCTTTTCATTCAGTCTTCTTGTCTGTACAGTTCATTTTCCACATGAAGTCAGAGTGACATTTTAAACACTAAATCATGTTGCCTTCCTATTTGAACTTCTCATTACATTTATAATAAAGGATAAACTATATACTCCAGCTTGGAAGACCCATTATTGTTTGGCTTATCTCTCCTTCACTGGCATAGTGTTTTCATTTCTTCACTGCTAGTGGTGATCAAGATGCAGTAACTGTATTTCTTTTTCTTGGCTAGGCTAGGTTTCTTTGTGTTTTCTCCATATCATAAGTGGCAACTTCCTTGTCTTTGAGATTTGACTCAAGTATAACTGCCCCAGCAAGGCCTTCCCTGATGAAGTAGTCTCTATAGTTTCTTCTATCACTTCACTGTTTTTTCTTCATCTTAATTGTTTGTGTCTAGTTCAATTCTAAAGATAAGGATTTTATGAATGAGAGATAATCTTTGTATTTGCATGTAATGACTCACATGTAATTGATACTTATTAAATATTTCATGAATGCTACCTGATTCTTCAGTTTAGTGGTACAGCTATGAATTTAAATGCTCTGACTGGATTGTGT